ATGAATTAGTATATCCAACATTAGGGGGAGAAAATAAGCAGCTGAAAAAGAAGATAGATTGGAATGCATTACTACTGTCTCATTTAGATCCTCGAACAAATCAATGTGAACAAGAGGTTCAAAAGATTATTCATTTGCAAAATAATGCAAATCAATTGCCAGATGCATTCACTGACCTACCAAGGGTGACTAAGTCACATATTCCAGTTGTTAATGCTCCAATTCGACTTGATATCCTGGCCGGACAATTAATTAAAGCAAATGAGTCTAAGCCATGCTTGAAACGTGGTAGACCAACCGGTTCTAAAGATAAAATCCTCGAAGAAGAAAAGGAGCAAGTGATCAAAGTGAACATAACACAGAGGTAGTGGCTCAAGAAGAGCCCCAAGACGTAACAAATGATAAGACCTTAAGGGAGGTCCAAGTACCTCAAAATAATGAGAATGAAGAGATATCAATAAATTACGTCTCAACCGGAAAAATATGAAACCGAAATAATATTTTTATCGATAACATTTTTGCTTATACTGTTACTGTTGAAATAATGCAACAAGATGAGGATCTTGAACCAAAATCTATCAATGAATGTAGACAGAGAAATGATTCGCCAAAATGGAAAGACGCTATCCAGGCAGAGTTAACTTCACTTGGAAAACGTGAAGTCTTCGGACCCATAGTTCTAACACCTGAAGGCATAAAGCCAATAGGGTATAAATGAGTTTTTTGTGCGAAAACGAAATGATAAAAATGAAGTCGTTAGATATAAGACGCGACTTGTGGCACAAAGGTTTTTCCAAAGGCCTGGAATTGATTATATGGAGACATATTCTCCTGTAGTGGATGCTATCACCTTCATGTATCTCATAAATATGGCAGTGCAAGAAAAACTTGATATGCATCTAATGGATGTTATTACAGTCTATTTGTATGGATCATTAGACAACGAAATTTTTATGAAAGTACCTGAGGGGTTTAATGTGCCAGAAGCATATAAAAGTTTTCGAGAAACTTGTTCAATAAAGCTTCAGAAATCTTTATACGGATTGAAATAATCAGGTCATATGTGGTACAATCGCCTAAGTAAATACATGTTGAAAGAAGGGTACAAGAATGATCCAATTTGTTATTGTGTCTTTATAAAAAGGTCTGGATCTGAATTTGTTATAATCGTCGTGTATGTTGATGATTTAAATATCATTGGAACTCCTGGGGAGCTTCCAAAAATAGTAGACTGTTTGAAGAAAGAATTTGAAATGAAAGATCTTGGAAAGACAAAATTTTGTCTTGGTCTACAAATTGAGTATATGAAAGATGGAATATTTGTCCATCAATCAACCTACACCGAAAAGATTTTAAAGCGATTCTATATGGATAAAACACATTCATTGAGTACCCCGATGGTTGTGAGATCACTTGATATAAAGAAAGATCCATTCTGACCTCATGAAAATGATGAAGAGCTTCTTGGTGCTGAGGTACCATATCTTCGTGTAATTGGGGCATTAATGTATCTTGCCAATAATTCCCGACCAGATGTAGCTTTCTCAGTAAGCTTATTGGCAAGATTTAGTTCTTCGCCAACACAAAGACATTGGAATGGTATTAAACATATATTCAGATACCTCCAAGAGACCGTTGATATGGGTTTATTTTATTCAAATGAATCCAAGCCATCATTGATTGGTTATGCAGATGCAGGATATTTGTCTGATCCACACAAAGGTCGATCTCAGACAGGCTATTTATTTACAAGTGGAAGTACAATCATATCATGATGTTCGACAAAACAAATTATGGTTGCTACTTCTTCAAATCATGTAGAGATAATAGCCATTCACGAAGCAAGTCGAGAATGCGTTTGGTTAAGATCTATAACTCAACACATTCAGCAAACATGTGGTCTTTCTTCGAAAGAGAATATTCCAACAATATTGTATGAAGACAATGCTGCATGCATAGCTCAATTGAAAGGAGGATATATCAAAGGAGATAGAACAAAACACATTTCACCGAAATTCTTTTTCACTCATGATCTTCAGAAGAATGGTGAAATAGATGTACAACAAGTTCGTTCAAGTGATAATTTGGCTGATCTGTTCACTAAGGCATTACCAACCTCAATATTTGAAAAGCTGATATATAAGATTGGAATGCATCGTCTTCGAGACATTAAGCGATTTTTCATCAGGGGAAGTAACTACACGCTGCACTCTTTTCTTTAACCAAGGTTTTGTCCCACTGGGTTTTCCTGGTAAGGTTTTTAATGAGGCAACAAGCAATGCATATTATAAATAACTATGTACATCCCAATATTTTTTTTGTAAGTTCCTAATGAGACACATTATCTTGCATGGATATCCAAGGGGGAGTGTTATAAATAGTTTGTACATTGGATGCTACATTGAATGCTCATGTTGTGAATAACGTAGTTTGTACATTGGATGTTACATTGGATGCTAATGTTGTGAATAACTTAGAGATTAAATCTCCTACTTTATGTCCATCATCTTTACTTTTTATGCCTATAAAAGACTATGTAATTGCAATGGAAATATACACCAAAGTGAAAGAAGAAAAGACTTCTTCCTTCTTTCTATCTCTTCTTATTTACATTTTACTGCATTGTTTTTATTTTATAACAATTTTTACATTTTTACTAAAAGAAAAAGAAAACATTGTAGATCGAAAAGAATGTTAAAATGGGGGGTTTTGCTTAATTGTTTTTCCCGACGACGAAGCGTTTATTACTAAAAAATGTACTTTTGAATGTTGACTCTGAAATTGAAATAAATTCTTTTTGGTAAACTAGGTAAAATAAATATTTTAAATGTATATAAAGTTAACTAGTATTTTAGTGGGCATAGCGCATAAATTTCTCTTTCTTTTACTTTTTCTTCTTCTTTTTCTCCTGTCCCTCTGGTTTCCTTTTCATTTTTATTCCTCGTCTTTTGGAATAATTTCTGTTAATGGATAGTTAAGGTGGAAAGAATTGACATTATAAATTATTATTATTTTTATTTCTTTCTCTCGCCACTTCGAAATTTCTATTTATTAAAAGTCTACAAGTATCGCTTCAACCATGAAAAAAGGTCCACCTCGTATTAGTGGTGGAAGTTGATTATTTAACAAACTTAATTTAAAATATTATGTTGCTTTTTACTACATATAGTTTATTTTATATTCTTGTCTTTTTTTTTTGTTATTTCTTATTTTGTAAATGTTTGCTGTTTAATCTTGTTTATTTACGTGGTAAAATAATTGTTTGTTGATATTTTACTCTTGTTATTTTGCCATTTATTTGTTATATCATATTAATGTGAACAATGTCTTTTCACCAATTGTAAAGTAAAAGAAATAAAATTAAGAAATGGAAATTTTAAAATAAAGCTAAAATCAAATAGAGTAAATTTAGAAATCTAAACAAGAACATTAAATTTGCTAAGTTGTTAGCGTTTATGTACAGTAACTAGTTAGAATTTAAATTTTGTAAATCATCTACTTAGCATTTAAGGTATATATATATAAATATTTACGAATGATAAAGCTGAAAAGGAAAGGAAAGGAAAGATTAAAATTTCAGATTCCACTGGCTCAAGGTAAGCCTCTTGCTATTTGTCATTGGCCATCAAACTCAATTGCTATTTAAATCTTATTACATTATACTATTAAATTCTTTGTTACATAACGATGAAAAAACTTCTTTTATGTAATGACCGATTTGGTGGAGTTATGTTGTTACGGTACTTCTTTTTAAAAATTTGTCCTCAATATAATTCTAATTATTCTTTAACCTACTTTTAATAACTACTCAACCCCATATTCTACTTTGTACAATTATTCTTCAAATTGTTAGCATATGACATTATGAAACAACAAAAATTATCCAATCTAGTCAAAAATTGTATTTTTAAAATAATATAGTATAATACAATATAATACGACACAGTGCATTAAGAAACAATGTGTAGTAACAACCATCCAAACAAGCTTCAAGGTTTTTCGAATTACAGAAGTAACAAAGCTGAAAGGAAGCTATTTAGAGGAACAAGATCCTCCAGTGCAATTAGTTCCAAACCTACTTTATGAAAATGTGAAAGATTAAACTGCCAATTTAATCCTTTATGCCTAAAACTCATATTTTATGTATTTCACTTGAAACTTAAATTAACTAATTAATACTATTAATACTTGAAAATGTACTTCAAAGATAGGGGTGAGCGTTCGGACAGTTCAGATTGCATATGAAAATTTTTGTTTGAATTTTAAATTTTCGGATTGAAGAAATGACAATCCAAATCCAATCCAATAAGTTCAGATTGGATCAAATTTTTTAAGTTCGATTTTGGATTAATCGGTTTGGATATTTTGGATTTTCGATTTTGAGCTTATAAGTTGAAATGTTACTTCTTTTTACAAAAATGAATATCCAAATGAAGTACTCATATTAAATTGCCTGAAAAGTTCCTCATTCTCACCGCAATCATCTAAATGAAGTATTCAAGTAAAGAAATAATTATAAAAAAAAATACAATATAGACATTAATACGGTCAATAAAAAGTAGAAATAGTAAAACCATATCCACATAGAAAGTATTCTCATAGTAACTTAGTACTCCCTTCGTTCCAATTTATGTGAACTTGGCACTTAGTTTAAAAAAATGAAGACTTTTATAATTTGTGGTCCTAAACAAGTCAAAAATGATCCAGAGTATTTGTGTGATTATAAAAGCTTCTCATTAAGGGTAGAGTTGGAAGTTTAAGCTAAATTATTTCCAAATTTAGAAAGTGATCATTCTTTTTGGAACAAACCAAAAAAGAAATAGGTTCACATAATCTCAGCAGGAGTAACTAATATTGAATATATGAGATAATATCTAATGAGTAGAGTATTGAACTTATTACTATTAACATATGAATAATGAACTAAATATAAAGTATAAGAATTTTGAATTTGCGGATATCCAAAGTTCCAAGTACCAAATCCAATAACCAATCCGAAATCCAAAATCCAATCCGCAATTCGAAAATCCAAATCAAAAATCCAAAAAGTTCGGATTTGAATTTGAATTTCGGGTTTGCCCAAACTATGTCCACCCCTATTCAAAGGTATTAGGCCATCTAGAGTTTATGCAATTACAATGACGGAATCATGAATATACAAAAACTTGATACTCTGCGCTTCAACTCAATTGGAGTCGGACTCCTTATCAACAACATCATGCTGTCTAGGCTGGGCTTGAAGTTCATTCATTCATTCCTCATCTGATTCCTCACTTTTTCCAGTCAACTTCCTTTTCAATATGGCTTCAAATATTGATGGGAATGCTTCTTCGTCTCCTTCAAAGAATCTATCTATCTGCTTTTTCAACGCTGTAATAATTCGACAAGAATCAATTTCAGATATGAATCCCAATCATTGTTTCAATCCTCTCTCAGTTACTAAAACAATATCACTTTCAACCTAATTATCAAAGTGCTCAGAATCAGAATGAATTACTAGTAATCAAAACTTTAGTAATTGAAATAAATCTAACAAATTAAAAACAAGCTGCTTCCTTTTAGCGGAACTAATCCAAACCTAAGGTGGATCCAGGATTTCAAGAGTATGGATGCACTATTATAAAAAGATGGATCTAGAATTCTCATTTGACGAGTTTAACTTTTGTCACTTAACCTGGACCCACTAAACTTTTGAAATTATAGGCTCAAACTTTATACTTTTTAAATTTTTATTGATTAATACACACACACACACATATATATATATATATATATATATATATATATATTGTACCAATGGAGTTCTTGAGCATAGGTGCACACACATATATTTAAGTAATTTTGAAAAATATACTACTGTTATATATGATTTAGGAAAATAAAGATGGGTTCATTTGAATCGATACTCTAATTGCCAGATACGCCCCTGATCCAAACTAATAAATATTGTAACTTTTGGTAAAAATTCACCCTTATTGCTGATATCATCTTCGTCTTGAAGGTTATTGTCATTGGTATGACCCGAATTTGATTCAGCAGGAGGTTGATTAGGGCTTTTGGATGTGAAACGCCTATAGATGGGCCAAAATGAAGAGGTAGCGGGGTAAGGGTTCGGTGTTAACAAACTGCGCGAACAGAGATAAACACTTCTGGCGAGAGATCGTTGCATCTCGATCTTCTTCGCGCTAGGGTTTTAGGAGGGGTTATTGTTCTTGAGCTTCTATGAATTTCTTTATCGATTCAACAATGTCATATCTTTACCGGTTCTTTCCCCAAATGAACAACTCAGTAAAGGGCCATTTGGCTAAAAGCCCAATGTGATTGTGACCCATGAAAAGATGGAATAATTGCACCAGCGTTTTATTTGGCCGCCTCATTTAATCTAGATAAATTTTCATAAAGCACTATCTTTTAGTGGTAATTAGCTATCTATAGATACTATTTGCTATATTACGGATTGTAGATACGTTTTCTGTTGTTATAAGATGTATTCATATAAAAGATATTACGGATTGTAGATACGTGAATCAGGAAAGTTCAGCTAATCAGTTGTTGTATTCGAATGTATTCGAGTGTATCGACTGTATTCATGGCGTGAAACATGGGATTATAGCTGGACAGATTATTGTATTCGATTGTATTCGACTGTATTCACGGCGTGAAACAGGGGATTACACTGTTTTTAAACGGAAAGTGAATCAATTAATATAATAGACTCCTAATATAACTCAACAAACTCAATTATAACACACAAATTTTGTATTTCCAGTTATAAAAAAGATTCTCAACCGAAAAATACCCCAAAAATATAACAATCTTCAGAGAAATTATATAATACATCTGAATATATAAATTATATTAATTAAAAAATATATATGATTCATGGTATATAGCGAGACAGTGAACACAATGAAATATATATAATACAGCGGGATACATTGAAATACAATAGAAAAAAAGACAGTGAATACAATGAAATACATGGAATATAGCGAGATACATTGAATTACAATGAAAAAAAAGATAATGAATGTAATGAAATACATGAAAATACAGCGTGATACGTTGAAAATACATTGAAATATATTAACATAAAATCAAGTTGCTCAGCCCCAAACTCTGTCGTCTTTGTTCCAGAACAAACCCTAGATTCCGGTGAATTCACCGTCGAGCAAAAATCCTGAATCTCACCGTTCCCACGCATCAAAATTACAAACGGGGTCACGAACGTTGTTGGCCATTCCACGGGCGATATGAAACCCCGAATCTCTAACTCTGGTGTGAGTCATTTTCATCAGTATAAGAAGCTGCAGGAGAAGTGGGAAGAAGTCCAAAGTTTGAATTCCATCAAATCCATCATCTTCTAGTTTTAGGGTTCCTTTTGTTTATGGCTTAAGGGTAGGAGGTGACCATAAATAGATATTTGGCTATAAAAAAATCAATAGGTAGCTATGGAATATAATTTTTTAAAAGGGTATTTATTTAAAATAAATAAGGTATCAACCTTTGCTATAGGAGGTAACTAATCTTTTAATCTATACCTATGTTTTAATTTTTTTTAATTTGTACCCACTGTTTAAAGAACTTTGGACTTTTTTCTCCTCTTTATTCTTCTTCTTCTTCTTCTTCGGGTAACAATAATTTTATATGGTGTTTGTGAATATATTTGTAGGTAATTTATGATATTTTACAATGGTGAGCTATTGTGGCGCTTTATTTTTTACTATTGTTTAAGGTTTTTTCTTTTTCTTTTTCTTAATTGCAAAATGGTTTCATTAGATTTATTGTTGTTTTGACAAATTGATGATTGAGGTTTGTTCTTGATATTTGGACGTTATGTTTCAAATTTGAGCTCATTTGGAGTAGATTTAGGAAAACGTTTGTTGCACTTCAGGCCTTTTGGCCTTAAATACACTTGAAGTGCAATTTTTCACTTCACACTTATTGGTCTTAAGTTTAAAGAAACGTTTGTTGCATTTCAGACCTTTTGGCCTTAAGTGCATCTGAAGTGCAATTTTTGACTTCAGACTTATTTGGCCTTAAGTGTAGGAAAACGTTTGTTGCACTTCAGACCTTTTGGCCTTAAGTGCATCTGAAGTGCAATTTTTCACTTCAGACTTATTTGGCCTTAAGTGTAGGAAAACATTTGTTGCACTTCAGACCTTTTGATCTTAAGTGTATTTGAAGTGCAATTTTTCACTTCAGACTTATTGGCCTTAAGTATAAGAAAACGTTTGTTGCACTTCAGACCTTTTTGCCTCAAGTGCATTTGAAGTGTAATTTTTCACTTCAGACTTATTGGCCTAAGTGCATGAAACCATTGGTTGCACTTTAGACCTATTTAGCCTTAAGTGTATCTGAAGTGCAATTTTTTCACTTCAAACTAATTTTTTTTTAACTTCCGACCTGATAAGTCTAAAGTTGATCTTAAAGTGGGTAGACTTGCAATTTTTTTTGCAAAGTGGTTATAAGTTCAATTATGACCCCGCAACCAGGTATAGATGTAAAAGCCCATGAAAAGATGGAGTTCAGGCTTCATTGATATTTGGGATTTTGGCACGGTGTGACAACGCATTCACATAATTAGCAGAAAAATGACATAATTATAGATATTGGCACCAAGTAGCCAATAAATATATATCACAACATGTATATCAAAATGTATATTACAATTTTATTTTCGTTCTTTGTATGTATCAAAATGAAGACTAAAATTTTGTTTTCCTTCGTTGTATATCCAAACTATGAATTTATAAATGTAGTTATTCAAAATTTATTGTTGTCTCTATACCAATGTATATCATAATAAAAACAACTTTGTATATCGCAATTGGTTGATGTTGAATATGCTTAGTCAAATATTACAAGAGCCAAAATGAAGAAAAAAAAATCAGTATTTCAGAGACTGAAAGTCCGAATCTCGGTAATGAAAAGATAGACACGAGCTTTTACTCCATTGAGTATACGTAATTTGCAAGAACAGTTAACCTTAATCTTCAATGTAGAAAGAGACTGGTTCTTCTGTTGCACTAATGATTAGAAAATGAAATCAATTAAGCAGGTGCAATAGAAACCTTGTCAACCTCAATAATATATTCAAGAGTAGCAGATGGAGGAATTTGTAGCCCTGTTCCTAAATCTGCTCCTTCTTCACCAAATCCCAAATTAGGAGGAATAATCACTCTTCGTTTTCCACCAGCTTTCATACTTTTTAAAACATATTCTATACCTTCACAAATTCCCTTACTATAAGGTCTTGATCCCATTACTAATGCCAATGGCCTCTTTTTCTTGCCATCACCACCAAATGTATCCACAAATACTTGTCCACTGCCTTCTACACTTCCCTTCACATCTATCACTACTAAGTCCCCTGGCCGTGGAGTTGCACCGCCGCCGATTTTCAGTTCATAATATCTGTTGGAAGATTCATGTGTTTTGATATGCAATTACAACTACAGTCAACAATATGGGATTAATTGATAAAACTATTCTTTTTTCATATTAAAATAACTGGACTTAAACCACTATAATAGTAAAATCATCTTGATGGGTAGGTTTTGTTATTATAGTGAGTGAAGTCCAATTACCTTAATGTGAAAAAATAGATTTGCGACTTTACTGGATAAAGTATATACCTTATCCCATTGGGCAAGACCACCTCTTCTTCTTTCTCGACAACCCTGATGATTAGGTAAATAGTTGAAATTTATGGATTAAAGATTTGATGATTATATAGAGAAGAAAAAAAAATGCGAATGCGGAACTACAAAAGATGTAATTTTACCTTGTATTTGTTTCTTGTTGAGACACTTCAAGGCGAGTCTTGATTTGCTCAGAAACAACACCAAAAGCAAGAAAACCAGCCCAAGCAAGTCCAGCACCAAGGCCAAATCTCCTTGTTAAGGAAGAGGCAATCCAATCGGTGGATTCTGCACTCGTCGATAGGCGAGCAGGTTTACTAGGCTTTTGCTGCTGCACATTAGCTGCTGGGGCAGGTGATGGAGGCTCTGAAGAAGTTACACTTAGATTGTGAGATGGTGGTGGAGTTTGTGGTTGTGGAGGTTGATTTGGTGGCTGAGAAGGAGGAGGAGTTTGTGAGGATAAAGAGAAGTTAGTTCTGGTAATTGGGTGAGACACAAATGGTGGTGATCCAAAGAAGGTTGCCATTTTTTTGGATATGATATGAGCATATGAGAGAGCTGCAGATATTTGTAGTAACTCAACTGCATTCAGTTGTAAATGGTCCCTACCTTATCTTTACATGCCTCATTTTTTTTCCTCCCTTTTTTCTTATAGACTTTAAAAATAGTGGTGTCCGAAGTCCGAACCAATCCTCCTTTTTTTAATATAAAACAGTGTTGTCCGAGCCAACTTATGTACAGTTTGACTATTCCACCGGTACCCATTATCTCTCTTCAGCATCAAAGATTAGAGAGAAAGAAAAAAGACATTGAACGTTCTTCTAGAATTTGAACCTTTGTCTTCCATAATTTTCACCTTACTACATTGACCACTAAGCGATATGCTTAAGGTTTAGGGTTTAAAGTATAAGGTTTAGGGTTCAGGGTTGTCCGGCTTGAAAGTCTTGAAAACTCCTTGTGCCCAAATCATGCCTGCGCTTTCAACTAAAAGCTTCATCAACAGGGTAGATGGTTAACCAAATCTTTAAAAAAAAAAAAAATTAAAAAAGGAAGAACATGGTAACATCTCTGCTTCTGCCACTGGATAATCAACCATCTCAATTTCATTGCTTTTCTTTCGGCATCAGTATTTGATGAAAGTATTCTCAATCACTCTTTAATTACAAAGAGATCCCAAAAATGAATATACATGAGAGAAAATACACAACTTTGAGGACTGTGGGTTGACAACTACCAGAAAACAAAAGTAAGAAAAAAGAATCACAATTGACTCAATATGAAGTATATGTCTTGTTAACAGATCCTTTGGCTTCCTTCAGTTTAGGGTTGAGCAAATATGAACCTGTCTTCATTTCCAATAAAAGATAAAAATTCCGTTTCCCTTCTGTCCTAAACCTGTTGTGCTGCTGGATTATCCAAGTTTCTTTATGACCGATCCTTTTCTTGACCTCTGTTCCCCAGTGGTTTCATTACTTGTGAACTGGTTATAGGTTTTTGCAGTGGTTTCAAAGCAGCCATTATCTCAGCAAATGATGGCCGCAACTTTGGATCTCTGCACATTAAGCAGGAAAAGCAAAAAAAGTATTAAGATTTTAACATCAACAAAAACATAGATGACCTTGTATCCGCACACAGCAAGTACTATATTTTGTCAATACTAATGGCATGATTGTCATGCCGAGGTGCTTTGATACCGACATCATCTATAAGTGACTCACTCCATCTTTTTTTCTTTCTTTCTTTTAACGGTGATGTCTAGGCAAACTTGTGTACACTTTGCCTATTCCACCATGTCCAACTACCCAACCAGCATACGTACCGGGTAACTCTCTCCATCAAGGCTTAGGCAAGCAGGAAGAAGTCACCTAGTATTTTTTGTCTCTGCTTGGATTTAATCCCTGATCTCCAAGATTTAAACCCACTTCATGATTACTAGGCCACACCCTTGGATGCAGGATTTTCAGGTATGTTTTTTCAGATACAATCATCAAATTACTCATTTGATTTCATATAGTAGGTTATACAACTATGATCTCCTTGGTAGACTTTAAAAGAAGAGACTCGAACCATTACATTATCTAAAAGTACTGAAGTGGTAAACCCAGCTACATTGACACTTTGAGGTCACTCTACAACGAATCAACAACCCAAGCAACCCTTACTCTTTATAAGTGTGTCATTGTGCAGATATTAATAGAAGCACTGAACACTCTAATGGAGGAAGTGAGCCTGACAACATATGATAAACACTGATTCTTATATTAACCAAAACCATTAGCTTGCCTGATAAGCTCTAAAGAAGTGAGTAAAAGATAGTGGAGGAAGCTCAAATAGGGGCCGAATGACTGAAATATTAAATGTTCTCACGTTTGCCAGCATTTTCTGATGATGTCTGCAATAGCAGGATCCATGTCATCTGGTATGTCAAGACGGCGATGCTGAAATCCAACTGCACCAACAACTTGCATGGGGTTCATTCCCCCCCATGGCTGCTGCAGAGTACAGAGCTCCCAAAGCACGACACCATAGCTATATACATCACATCTGTACGGCATGATATCATAGCACAACATCAACAACCATATATAAAAAACAGCGAAGGAACTCATTGTTGAAATATGCCACCCTAATATTTGTAGGATTCTTCTGATTCTTGCCTCTCTTTTTTTTTGTTTCAATTAATACATCTTTATTAACACTTTGAATAGAGTAATATGGTTTTAAGACATACTTCTCATCTGAAGGCTCATTTCTCAGCACTTCTGGGGCCATCCACTCGGCCTGAAAACAAAAAGATGCAGCAGATTGGTAGTTGACGCAGAAGGACGGAGTAAAGCTAGCAACAACAAGAGTCAAACGTATGAATTATAATGCATCAAACTCTTGCAGAGAATCATGATACAGAAACTTGCCGTACTGTTTGCCGGCTTTAGTTAAACCAAAATTATACATAATACATGAATAACTTTAATTCAGTGAAACTTCACAAAAGCAGCAGTTCCATTACCTAGTATTTTTTGATAAAAGTAAAAACTTACTAATGTGGGAAAACTTACCGTATACAAGTGCTATACAACAGTCCATACCCTAGTATTCGAACAAAGACTAATGGTTTGCAAGCCTTAATTTCTACCATCAAAACTGTGATCATTTTGTGAAGCACAGGCTTAACTACAAGAGTCGTCCAAGTTAATTACAATATAGCAAACTTGTCTTCTGAAAATTGACAGATTCAGCAAGGATATTCCATTATAACTGCTAATTCCCGACATATATCAGCAGAAAGGGAAAATTTACATATGGTATTATGACGAACGGCAATGCATACAATATTAATAGAACTTTCCAACTTTATGAATACTATAACCACTATATAAGATGTGAAGCTCCTCAAACAACGGAAATCTACAGAATTATATTTATGCATCAAGGTTTAAGAGAACATGTGGAACGACATTAGAAATAAGCAAATTATTGTCATCTCGGAACTGCCTCCCACTATATATGTTTAACTACTTCATTCAAAACTAATATATAAAGAGCAGGAGTCCTACTTCTGCAACAAGTCCATCATGCGCTCAGGTAACAAGGTAAAACCTTTTTCACAACTTTAGGATTAAGTTCTGATAATCTCGCAAAGGACTAAAATATGTAACTGGAAGCCTAGATACATGCCATAAATTTAAGTTATTTTTGAATCATGGATCACAGCGACCACCTTTTTGAAGTAGAAACTTGGCAATGTAAACATCTCCGAAAGCCTGAAGTGTTTTAAGACCAACAGCATGGAGCTATCTTCTACAAAAGGGCTGATATAAAATGATGTACAAAAATTAGATGTATGCATGACTGGAACATTACAAGTTCCATCAAGAAAGGCACCATAATGAAATAAAGTCGTGGAAACAAGAAGCACCGTATGGAGAAGAATATCAAGCATTGGAGAATGTCAAAGCATATTGGCAAGACACAACAGCTAAAAGAATGTAGAAACTATGGGAAATGAAAAGACAAAGGTTGAAAGAAGCATGTCCCAAGTAATTGAATCAAATCCCTCCTGCTTACCGTCCCAGCAGTTGACCTTGAAGAAAGAAAGGTGCTCTGCTTCATTCTCGATAACCCAAAATCACATACCTAGAGTCACAAATAGTTATGCGTTACATGGAAATTGAATTGAACGATGCAGTATCATTCCCTAGGTTTCCAAGTTAAGGGACTCCACCTTCACAACCCAGTTCTTATCCACAAGGAGATTTGGAGACTTCAAATCACGATGAACTACCATAGGAGTGCAATTGTGTAGATAGTTCATCCCTCGAGCCTGTTAGTTCAATAAATTACATGCAATAGAAAGTCACCATGTAATCTAGAAGGTCTGAACCAATGGAGAAGTTAAAAAGAGAGAGAGAAGTGGAGCATACAGCATCAAGAGCCATCCTCAATCTTCTCCGTTCATCTAACTGATTGTTGGACCGATGAATTAATCTGTACAAACTACCTCTGCAAACCAAAATATAATTTGAATTCAAGCATTCAAATGGTTAAATCTAAAATTCGCAGCTGACAGACAAATTACATTTAAAATTTTCAAGCTTCATAAAGGCAACTTGACAACTTCAAAAATCTTGGAGGACAAGAAATACCCCAAAACAAAAAATAACAGTGTTTTGATGTACCTATGAAGAAACTCGGTAATAATTGAAAGGTTTGGAGGACGAGTAACAGCACCCATGAACAGGACTACATTAGGATGCCGGAGTCTTTTCATGATCCTCACCTTCCAAGGCAATATTGAGTTCGAGTAAGATTGAGATCTTCATTTTATGCTAAATAACACAACAGTTGCCAGGATTACAGCAATGGCTACTGACTTTGTTAGTGTAAGAAGCAGATTACAAATGGTTAAATGCACAAATATATTTGCAACAACCTTCTGAAAGAAATCCTACTAGGAGTAAAAAAACTATGAAGAATCTTAAAATAGAAGCCACGTAATTTAGTAAAATCACTTAAGATACTGCATCATTAACAGTTCGAATCAGGCAAATCGGTCAAAGAATTGAACTCACTGGAGAAAATTTTCAGCAGCGTTGGATGATAGAAAGGAACTGATAAAAGAATGACTACCTATCATCTATTTAGGACATACTGTCAGTTTGTTACCAAAAGCTACAAAGTAAGAAGAACCTAGAGGAATGATGTAGCTGAATAAACAGCAAACATGAAGAAATGTTTTCATATAGCTTTTGACTCATATGCAAGAACGAAGGATCAATTTAGAAAACAAACAATTTTCTGACAGCTTGAAATTGAAAATTTAAACTCAGTCAAAAAAATAAAAATAGATCTGAATAAAACTTGGTAGCATGCCAGGAAATAAATTCAGAATCATTGAACATATTTACATGATCATCAAACAACTGAGAAACGGGAAGGTTACTTGACTCAATCAGTTAGTCACTGAGAAACGGGAAGGTTACTTGACTCAATCAGTTAGTCTGCCATTACAAACCAGGACATGATGCACAGAAAGCAAAAATGATTTTGCCAATTCTAGTTGGAAGTGTATACTTCCATTAAAGCATATATGCAGCATACTTCCCCGTTTCGATGTTGGCCCAACTTTAGCAATATATTCCTTTTATTACTCTGCATGGGTCACTATTCTTTCACAAAGATCAAGCATTCTCGTTACACCAACCTCACAAAATCTATCTGATGTAATTCCACACTTTTTTCTTTTGACATGGTAAACTCCTCTGTCAGCACCCCTACCCAGGAGCCAACTGTGGCCTATTCCCACTTTGCTCCCCTGGTGGCTTGAACCCCCAAATTTATGATTGGATTATTGGGTCTTTACCACTAGTCCTTCTCTTATCCCATCAGTTGATAATTATAACTTAAAAGCAAGCATTACTTTCCGCCAGTATCCTGTGCTGGACTATAGCGAGTCAGCGACTAGGGCATGAATTGAGCTAGTCTTCTTATTGTTAGGTCTGTAGTACTAGGGCTTGTATCCACATTTTAGTGTTCTTATTCCGGAATCTTTACAGAAAATTAGAACTTCCTTCGGCATTTATTCATTAGCTTTTCAAAATTGTTCACTGACTTTCTAAAGATTCCGAGGCATGCATCATCAAGAAGAAAAAAAATAAGATATCTGATTAAGATAGTAATGATATGAATTGTAATTTACAAAATTTGCTGAAAACCCAGGGAAAACGGGCCTATGCTGGACAAGAAAGGGTATACCTCACTCTTAAATTCTTCAAGGGATTCACCAGTTATATCTTGGTCTATGAATTTCTTCACAGCGACTTCCTGAAAATAAGAAAGTTCTACATTGTATCAGTTTAAGTTGGTGACAATGATGAAGGCTTGTAAGAGCAATTCATTTTTCCCATTTATATTTGACGCAAGTGAAGTATGACTTCATAACCCAAATACAGATTTTAGCAACAACCTGAAGTTAAAACAAAATAAACAGTCCATACCAAACTTAAGATATCAGCTATATCACATTCACCGCTAATCCGCAATAATAGTGGCCGTGAAATCATGAAGAAAGTGATCCAGTAGGACATTTTCCCGAAGAGGCATGGACATTCAAAATTTACAAAAAGAAAAAAGAAAAGGAAACTGCCAAAAAAGTCTATTACAACTTTAAATAATGGTCACATGCTAAACAAAATGTAATTCATAGTGGACAAACTTCTTATTAGTTTGTTTATTTATTTTGGGAATGACAAGTGTAAGAAGATTCAGTAAGTTCAGGAAGAGCAAATATTTTTGTAATTGACTTATTGTCGGCAGCTTCGGCTGACCTATCTATGTTGAATCAACTTAGAGCAATCATGCATGTCCTCGGTATACTAAATCCCACATCAGGTATATACAGGATCTAATAAGGGTTTATAAAGGTCTTTGAATGCCCTTAAATACCCGGTATGAGAATTTGTATATCTCCAACACTATTCATGTAACACTCCTCAAATCTATAAAAGTTTCAAGACACGTTAAATATAGATTATAATTTCTATAATCTTAAATTATACTTCTATTATGGATTTAAACCCTTGTGATTGATTTTTTTTGTTATTTCTCTATTTATAAATAATTGGATATACAATTAGGGGAATATTAATAATTTTAATATTATTAATTATTAAAAACAGGTATAACTAAATACTACTAATTAAGTCAAAATAAAAAAGACAAAAAAAAATAATAATACTAAAATAAGCACGTGCCAAGCCAAGCCCATAAAGGGTTGTTGGACCAAACAGAATAGCGTACAAGAGGTGTAAACATAATAGCCTTACAAGAAACAAAACAGAATTAACACTCAAGAAACAGAGGCAACAAACTATTCACGCAGGCGACGAAAATTCTAGGGTTTTTCACAACTCACTTATTCTTGAACTCAGAATCAATTATTTGACGGGTATAAATTAGATTGGGGCCTACGTATTAGCTCAAGGAGTTTTGAGGTGAGTTGATATAACCCTTTATTAAAGTAGTTTAACTCACAAAAGCACGCATACAAGGTGTTTGATGAATTGCTTAAAAGAGCTAATATGCACTTAATTGGAGTGTGTGAGTACCTATTAGCTTAGAATTATTTTCCAGCTAAAGTTTAGATGATTATTTTGATATATGTGCATAAATTTTCAGATTTTTGTGTTATGCTTATATGTCATTTTCATGTTGAAAAATCATGAAGAAGCAAGAATCTTTAGAAATAATTTTGAATGTTTATTTCATTCTTATGCCATACCTTACCTTTAAGGATTCCAGAATAAGTATGTTTGAAAGATTTAGACTTGAAAAGTCACAAGAAGAAGTTTTAGAAAGAAAAGATTTTTCAAAGTATCCTCTATTCTGAGAAGGGATCATCGTCCAGGCCAAGGGTCCTGACCAAGGTGTTGATTTCCTGAAACTACTTGTGTCAAAGTAGGGAGCACACGAGCCGAGGGTCTCGTTGCTGAGGATTTTGCCTAGCCAAGCTAAGGTATGGTACATGAGCGCTGAGAACCATGAAGCGAGTGACACCTCGTGGATTGGGCCTATTCGATCAGGTTGGGATCGAACCCGTGCCGATCACATGGTAACTAAGACAGAAATAAGTCAGGATAGTTGGAACTCCCGAAGTACGAAACAACAACAACAACCCAGTATAATCCCACTTAGTGGGGTCTGGGGAGGGTAGTGTGTCCGCAGACCTTACCCCTACCCTGGGGTAGAGAGACTGTTTCCAAATAGACCCCCGGCATCCTTCCCTCCAAGAACTTCCCACCTTGCTCTTGGGGAGACTCGAACTCACAACCTCTCGGTTGGAAGCGGAGATATTTTTTACGAAGTGAAGTATTTTTTTAAAAAAAAAAAAGAAAAAGAAAAGAACTTCTTTTAGAATATTCATAAAGTGCTATTATGCAATTATTTTAGAATTCTTCTTAGAAGCTTTATGTTTCCATGCATTTAGAATCTTTGCTCGTAATGTATATTTTATTAAAGTTTCGTTTCCTGTCTTTGAGCTTCACTGAGTACAATGGATGATACTGACGTTCTCTTTTGGGTACCTACGTTGGTCTGCGGTACAACGTAGGAACCGGTTTTGCAGGCGAGCAGGCTACAGTTTAAAACTTCCCTCCCTTCTAGTGCTATTGATGAGCTCCACTTTTGTTCGTGGAGTATTCCTTAGAGTCATCTTTATTTAGTTATTTCTTTGTTTACTTAGAGAACTGGCCAGGAAATCTCATGTCCTGAGCAGTGCGTCAGTTTATCAGTAGAGGCTTCATAGACACAGTCAGTGGGTTAAGATTCAGATGTTTTTGGATAATAACTTAGTAGTATTTCAGTAGTTACTACGAATAAAGTTTTGGAGTTGATTTATTTTAAATATTTAAATTAATCAAAAGTATTTGGTTAAAGTACTGCCTTGTTGCATATAAAGTATGAAGTTATAATAGATTTAATAAGCACAGATGGTACGCTCGATCATGTTTAGTGATCGGGTGCCGGTCACGGCTTGTTCAAAAAATGGGCCGTGACACTTCAGCATGCGTGACAGAATAGTTTGTCAAAGAATATGAGGATCCAACCCAAAACTTCAAGTCAAAGAATATGGAGCAGCTCAAGGCCATTATAAACTATTCGGGAGACTCTTCAAAGCTAATGTGGTACAAATTTATCTCCAAGAATACGAAATTGTAGATAAAACTTGGCAGTCTTCAATAACTTCACACACTAAGAACCTCCACAAGTTTCAGATGCCCTATATCATTACTCTAACAACTTGCATCTAGTAATTAGATGATAAAAGAAGTTCAAGCTCTCAACTATGTAAAGGAAAAAAATGCAAAAATTCATTACAGAAAAACCTAAAACTAAAGAAAGAAATCTAATTTGCACAAGAATACATAAACTTACAGTTCCGTGCCAGTCTCCACGATAGACCTCTCCATAAGATCCTGCAATGGGAAGATAGTGAAACAATGAAAATGTAACACGACACAGGTTTTACCTACTTTATAGAAGCTTCTACAAATGTAAATATTTAATGCAGGTCAATACCAAGTCCGATACGCTCACCCAAGGTGATATCCTCGAATGGAATCTCACAATCTGCGACATCATCAAGGGTCACATCAGATTTAACACTATCATTACTGGTTGACCTATCTGATATTCTTTCACTCTCAGAATTCACTCCTAATGCCTCATGCACTTGATCACCACTACCCCGCTGCTCATACACAGCACCATCTGCATCTCCATCAACTCTTCCAGAGTCTATTAAATTAAGGAAGAATGCAGGACTATCTGGTGAATGAGCAGACGGCTCCAGGTTTTCGTATTGCTTAGTGACAGCTGCAGTTGTTGCTACCACTGCTGCAGCTGTGGCTGTCACAGCAGCTGCAACAGGGAGATCAGCTTTTGAACCATATGTGGTCTTTGCTGCAGCAACCACCATTGAAGAGGCAACCACAGCTGCTGCTGCCGCAGCAGCTGCAGCAACAGGCATGCTTTTTGTGAATTTCACTGCAGCCAGTTCAGAGTGTGGAGAAACTTGATGCCCACTAACTTCTCCGCCATCAAGATGAGGATCAAATGGCCTAAGGGGATTGGCCTTGGACATACCATGATAAGGCAAAGGAGGCAAGAAACTATTACGATCTAGATCAGCTTGACTCTTGTTTTTCTCAATCTCATCGCTCCCCTTACTTTCCATATCCTCTGGCCCAGATTTTCCCTCCACAGGGGACACATCCAACTCCTCTGTATAGACTTCAGTGAACAGATTTGGTGGTGCAACAACCCCACTTTCAAGTAAAACATCATGAAGCTTTTGAGCTAGCTGTGGATTCTCTTTAGCAGCATCAATCATGTACTGTGAAACATCCTTAACTTTCATTCGCCGTACAGCCGGGGAGCTAACACCTTCAGTCCAGGAAGGTGACCTTGCATGTGTATAAGGAGATCTTGCATGCCCAGTCCCGGGTGAAGTTTCCTGTCTTTGTCCCTTCTTCACGGTCCGAAGCTTTGTAAATTCCTTAGAGGAGTTATTGCATCCTTTCTCAGCTTTAATCTGCTTTTCTGAATTATTACTAGAAGAGGGAGACGCATTTTCTGTGCTGCTTTCCCTGAACCTGGATCTCCTCTCTGCCGTTCCATACTCAGAATGATCTTCTGACGAACAAGCAACCCCGCTACTAGAAGAACCCATATGAGAATCAACATCTTTGTAAGATGGACTGATGGAGAGGATAGATTCCTCATAGTCTACTTGTGTTCCAGATGTATCAGAGGGAATAAGGGTGCCAGGGTCTGCCATCAAATCAACAATATATTCCCTGCAAAGCACATGACCTTGTAAACAAAAGAGGCAACTTCAGGAAGAGTAATTATATCCTAGAATAAACTTCTTTTCCGAGAAGAATTAAAATTTATATTTATAAATTTGTTGAAAAACAGCACCAATCTAAGCACCAAAAGAGCTACAAATATGAAAGGAAAAAAAAACAAAATTAAAGGTTCAAAATAGATCACCTAACTGCTTTAAAGAAAAGTTGTGTATTTAACTTATCAAAAAAGAGTGTAGTAGCAAAAAACAAAGAAGATTATCCAGCAGTGTTGCTTGAATGTTTAAGATGCCCTTGCTTATGAAAATGCTAACTGACTGTATACCAACTAAGTTATGAAAAAATAGGAATCACAAATGAAATTAGTTCGAATAAAAAAGAAAAATGGTAGGAACCTTCCATCTTCAATCTTTACATAGTTCATTGCAACTTCATCTGAACCTGTGTATTCTTGCCCCTTTACTAATCGGCACGGGAGCCCCACACAATCAGCCAAAACCTGCACGCATTTTCAGAAGTAAATCAAATCATGGCCAAAAGGAAAGGGCATGGTTGACCATCAGCACAAGCCAAGTGATAGAAAATCATAGTAGTAATAATAAACAACTATAAGAACTACATAATGGGGTGAAACCCAAAACCTTTATCAGAGGAGGTGCTATTGTGAACCCCATAATATGTTCTAGACACATGAGAATCCAACTTGATTAGTCCTCGGGACAAGCTACAGGATTTAGCAGCAAATCCTCATGTCATTTTTAGCTATCTTCATTTCTTTCCTTTTTTGGATCCTTACAGGATTAAGAGGAAGTTTACCTTCACTCCTTCAGTATGTTTTACTATTTTCTGTGTTTGAAGGAAAATAAGAAACTGAAATCACACAGACATGTATACAGACACACACAGATAGAGACAAATAAAATAAGTTGTTTGAAGCAAATATTGGCTTTCCTTCTTAGGTGAGATATGTGTTGCCATTCTTTTTGCTTATTTGAATAATATAATTTGTTTGACCAAAAATACATTGCTCAAATATGAAAAAGATGACAAACAATATCTAACTTGAGAAAGGAAACGGCATGGAGATCTAAGCTTTCTTACTTAAGAGAAGGCAAGGAGCAAAAGAATCTTTTTTCGTAGAGAAAAGCTAAAAGAATTCCATCTTGAATGTTTGGCCTGATCTGATTCCTTTCATACTTTTTCTTATTCTTTAACTCTTGAAAACAAAAAATACTGACATCTAGTCTCAAAATTGAGATATGCAATACTAAACACTTTACAACAAAAATAAAGAAAAAGTTGGCAGAATGTGCTAGCCATAGGTGTAACGGAATAAATTTTATTGAGTGAGAGGGTATGGAACCTAAACTTTAAAAACATGAGTGCCTACAAGCTCTGTTTTCTGCAATTTCACTTTTCAAGTCATTTTGAATTAAGATACAGTCAGTACAAAGCTGTTATTCTTTGGCTCAAAATTTTAACGAACGCAGCAAAATTTCATTTTAATCAAATCCGTCGAAGATGAGGGGGATATAGTTAAATATTACTAAAGACTAACAAATTACAGGGGACAAAGGAAAACATACTCTAAGTTAATATCATGCATCAAATGCATCAACAGACATGATGTTTGATATGTAAAGCTACTGATAAGTGACAAGGATATCATGCAGACACTTGCCATTGATTCTCCAGTAAAGATGGGGATATCACTTATGCACAAACAGAAGAAAGATAGATGAGGAATGCTGAACAGAATGTGGGGGACATTACTGGATTCAACTCAGATTTGATTAAGGCACAGCATACTTGAATTGACATCTCTATAAAGGACGGATATAGCACACCTGCATACAACACCAGAAAAGACGGATGTGGAATGCTGAACAGTATATGGGGAGGATGTACTGGATTTAACTCATGTTTGAGTCAAGTACTTCAAACAAAGATTTAAGAAACATTCAAATAAAACTGAACTAAACTCGTCCAATAGCGTATCCGTGGCACACTTCTATTATTCTACCTAAATGAGCTCCATTTGTTTATATTAAGATAGTATGCCCTCTATTATAAAACTAATAAGCTTTCTCAATGTGCATGTAGTCTTCGCTTAATAGAACATGGGTATCATTACAGTCGTGACACAACTGTGAAAGTAAATCAGGCTTCTTACGTAAGATAAGGAAATTCAAACATCTCAATATCATAGTCAACCAGCACTCCTTCCTTGACCAAACAATTACACATGAAACTACTGAGTTTTATATATTTCTCATATACATATATATATATATACACAACAACAACAACAACAACAACAACCCAGTGTAATCCCACAAGTGGGGTCTGGGGATAAATATATATACACACTAATTTTAAATGTTTTGAAGGTCAAAAGAGTCAGTACCTTGAATAACAAAGCACGATGACGAGCCAGTCCAATGGTCAAAGAACCGAGAGGCAAAACCATGCTCCCAAAAGTGGCCTTTAGATTATAACTAAGACTTCTCCATGCTACTAACATGCTTTCAGGATCACCAACTCGACCGCCCATGTGTTCAGAAACTAGCATAGCAAGCGTCTGAACCAAATTGCCACCTGTAAAACCTATGGATTCTGACCTGACCTTGACAGATATCTCTAGAGCTTTCTGTTCTAGCATCAACAGCTTGGAGTCCGCAGCTCTATTAACAAGGATAGCTTCCCAAGCGATCTGGTCTGATACCGGTGTTCTTTGTAGATCAACAAGGGAGGGCATTTTTGAGGAATTGGACTCTGTCATGATCCCATACAGATCATAAAAACCATCGAGGATCTCGTCATCAAAGCTTAGAGCATTGTAATTCTGTAAAGCATTCATAATTCTATAAATGTGAGATAATTCATGTGTTAGAATGGAATATGGAACAGAAACATGGATGTTTTCTACAAAATAAGTATCATGAGTTGATCAAATAATAGAGTAAATATTCGAATGTTAGATAATGGTATTTTCTATAAAACCTTGTTCTCTGGCTGTGTTAACTTTATTTTTTTTTAAATTATTAAAAACAGCTCACTTACAGTTACTAAAAAATGTGTAACAAGAAAATCGGACAGAACAGAAAAAACAGGAATGTGCATGGTAATTACTCTGACAAAATAATAGAGATAAAAAACCCTTGTGTATGAACAATAGCCTTTTTAACAGTGAAATGCCAATTGAGAATTTGGTTATGCAGTTAGGGGTTGATCAGATATAAGGCTTCCCAACCCCCAAACCCAACCAAATAGGAAAATGGAAGTAATGCACATAACTCTTCAACGCATGCCTGCCAGGATTGTACGTTAATTACAAAAGAAAGATTTGGTTACTGAAGTCTATCCGAATGTTTTCTCGTCCGGTTTGTAATTTTAGTCCTTTCCTGATTAATTGTAATTAATTGTAATTTCTGGTCCAGGATTGTTAGTAAGGGTGTGCTTCTATCTTCTTTCAAATCAACGGCATTGAAATAAGAAAACCAGGATTAAAAGAGAAAATGAATCGAAAATGAGAATTAACCATTTTTAAACTCAGGTCATTTCCTTTCATCTACAGAGTGTGAGAAGGACGAAAACAGTGTGTCAGGGAAATGCATTATCTAGTATAAGCGTGTTTTCTATAAAACATGAGTTGAAACTTCCCTTTACTATACTCCTTCATTGCTCACCCTTTAATACATCCATCGAGCAAGCAAGTGCACTATGTTTTCTTTTACTTCTAAGATTTTCCATGAACTTCACTGCCGCATTTGGAGACATGTATTTCAGTAAAAATTCACTGATGAAGTCTTGTCTTGCTGTAACATATCCATTCTTTTTTCCTTTTCTGATAAATGATAACATATCCATGTTTAACAGGTACTATTCAATACGCCGCATCAGAATAACTATAATACACTATAATAATAGTATTTCAGTGTCAACGCATCTTCTGTTCCATGTAATGCCATCGAATTATTCTCCCGTGTTGTTATGTTTCAATGTCTTCATAATTCTGCCATGAAAATTTTGACCTCCAGCTAGCTTGAGACCACATTCGATCTAGAAGAACGAATGGTAAGAACCTAAGCAATTGATTGGGCATTAGGGTTCCATGATCCAGTACCAACAGCTTGAGGAATGCCAAGTACAATCAACGGCAACATAGTGTCAGTACCATTATCATTATTCGACAATGATGGCTCAATGAAGACTGGATTTGCTTAACAGCAACCGCATATTAAACCCCTGTTCCAGGCTTCCAGCAATGCTTAGCTGAAACCAACCTTTGACCAACCAGAACAGTATAACAAACTTGATCACCAACACACAAGAACTTATATTGTCAGACTTTTAAGTAATTCATTAACATGCTCAATTAGGTCCAAAAACGGAAGGGGGCATTGGAGCAACGGTCAAGTTGTCTCCGTGTAACCTATAAGTCACGGGTTCGAGCAGTGGAATCAGCCAATTCCATTGATGCTTGCATCAGGGTAGGCTGCCTATATGCCTACCCTATATCACACCTCTGTGGGATGCGGCCCTTCCCCGAACCCTGCATGAACGCGGGATGCTTATATACTGGGCTGCCGTTTAATTAAGTCCCAAAACAACATGTTCAATTCAATTAGTTAACCTAAACTAAATGCCTATTAATGCAGAGAGGAAGCAAGCTAAAGAAAAAACAATTTAGAAACAACCAAATAGATCAAAACAAACTTACCCAATATCTATAAGCAACAATTTCAGCTGGAGTGTTCTCTGGGGCACAAGAGCCTAAACTTATCTGTTTAACAGCTTCAATCTGAACTGCCTCAGGATCTTCCTTTGCACTCAACTCCAGAGCTAATTGTATTTGATATTCTTCCTCTATATCAGGCTCCCTCGAATTGCTAGACTCCGAATCGCGCCTTACAGAATCTAAAGCAGCATCTAATCCACTACTACTAGCAGAATCACAAGGTTCCATTCTATTATTATTCCCTCTACTCACATTTGAAGATGATGGAGGACTAGGACTATTATGCCTATTAGTAACTGAATTTAACCATCCTGAAATAGCTGAAAAGGGCTTATTATCAGGGAATGAAACATCACTTAATCTCTTGGTCTTTGCTGATGACGTTGACCCTTCTGAATCCACTGATTCATTTGGCACTAAATGGAGTTTCTTGAGAAGATTTTTCATTCTTGTCTTAACTAAACCTCTGAACAAAGTGTTAAAGAAAAATGAAAGCAGGCCATAAACCTCTCCATTGTCTCACTCCAAGCATGAATCTCAATACCAAAAATCACAATAAACAACAAGTACAGAGTTTAATCTCCTTTAATAAGTTCAGGTCAACATCCAAGAACCCAGCTGGCAAATTCAAGAAAATAGAATTATCCCCTTGTTGGATGAACAAAGACTCAATCTTGAACACAATTTAAGAATCCAACCCGGTTGATTTCTCATATATGCACACATGTATTATGTCACGAGACAAATATTCTATCTACTGACAGAAAAAAACATTCCAAAATCAGGAAAAAAGAAAAAAAGGTTGTTCTGTTAATAACTCAGTAACAAGACCAAATCAAGAAAAGGGGGGAGAACAAAAATGCAAGAAAGATATTGGATTGCGTGAAGAGAGAGAAAGAAAGATTGGAGTTTACATGAAGAATGACAAATTCTATACTACTACTAGTACTATTACAAGTCATAGGAGTAATTAAAATTAAAAGCGAAAAGGGGGTAAGTGGTCAGTTGGGAAAAGGGGAGAGGGGGCAAAAGACAGCAAAGACCAACAACAAGTGGTCATTCTCTCTTTATTACTATGTGCCAACTCCTAATAAAGAGAGAATGACCCCACTTCTAATTTTTGTAGCACACCACCCTGGCCTGGATTTCCCACAAAACCAAGCTAAAACGTTTGTAGTGTACTACTACTATATTAATAAATACATTATTATATTATAAACAATTTTGCTACGATCCAAAACCAGCTTGCCTTTCATTCTCACCCATCATTAAATTGTGGTGGAATAAGCAATTTTGAGTTTGAAATTTTGGAAAGAAAAAAATATATTTCCATTTTAATAAATTTTATGGTGTGTGAATTAAAACTTATTAAGATTATGATGCTGATACCAAATACCAGATGAAAAAGCCATGAAAATGGGTTATGATTTGAACCACGAAAAAGTTTCTTGTAGAAATGCAAGGTAAGAGTGCACAAGGACGTACGCAGGAATTTTTGTAAACAATATCGAAATTTATAGAAGAATTGGAATATAAGTTTGATTGTCATACTTTTAGACAAGAACTAGCATTAGTCTATTGGTTTTGTTGAGTCTTAAGTTAGAAAAGGTTCTGAGTTTAATTCTACTTCATCATAACTTTTAACCACAGAGACTCTCTCAAATATATGCCAAAGAAAAATGTGCTAGTTGAGGTTTGAACCTTTGGCCTCTTAGAGCAAAATCAAGCACACAATCAACACACCAAGACACAATTTATGTCAAGTGGTGTCGTTTTTTCCTACTTATCCTTTTTCGTGCAATATTAATGTTGTGAATACAAATCCAGTAAATGCTGACATAGATGACAACAAGGATGCCACGAGAGAAGAACCCATGGGTCTGCCACATAGGAATTCTAGAAAAATAATTGCACCAGCTAGACTTGAGGATTACGTTTGGAAAGGTGGGGGATCGCGTGAATAAAAGGATAGGGTTTGTTATGGGGAGTGAACTATATAAGTACCAGCAGTATGACATTAAGGGCAGACAATTCTGTTATGAGTGAACTCTAATTCCCATCTCCTTTCTTCTGGTTTCTCACCTCTTTCTTCTAGCACCTCACCTCATTCTTCTATCTATCTTTAGCTCTTATTTTTCTGCAATTCCTAATGTCTTATGTTAACTAGTTATGATCTTTTCCTATTTGAGTTGTAATCATATGTCCATCTTATTAATATAGTTGAATCTTTTGGTTACTGTTTCATTAACTTTGAGTTGAGAACTGAGAATATTATAATTAGCACATATATTTAGTAAAAATTTTTGACAAAGCTGTATCGCGTGACACCGCTTCGGTAAGCATGCATCTGCCCCTGAGAGTGCATATTGTTTGACCCAAAAGATATTGAAACCTTTTTGATTAAATTAATTAAAGAAGATGAAGAGGTAAATCTCAGTCAAGTATAATAAACTCTAGATTGAAAGATGCAAGGGATGAACAAGATGAATAATGTTTCTTTAATATCTTGAAACCGAATGATTATGCGTGAATATGACAACTTTGAATGTAGAGAGATATTGTAATGGATGCTCTTATCCAAAGATGAGTAAGAAATTTGGATCCCCCTTTTACAAAGTCTTCCCCTTCTATTTATAAGGGACAACCCCCTCTTGAACCTTAAAAGATATAACATAGAGAATATTCGAAAGTGTATTCCTACTGCCTCCTGTTGAGCGTACACTACTACAAATGTCGTGCGTCTTCTAACTGCTATCAGTCGTCACCGTCTTCAACGACCACATGACGTTGTGTCGTAAGGGTCTCGTCCCTTGTCGTATTCATCAATGGTTATGATCATCCAAATTTGGACCTATACAGTTAGTCCATTTGCTTGTCGAGGTTGCGGCTTGATGCGTCCTCGATAAGCAGACATCGCCCACACCTGCGGAGAAATTTGGTTTACAAATCGTAATGGTTTGGACAACAACGGAAGTTTAGCGTGCTCAACGATATCCTGGGTGGTGTATCTTATCGGAAAATGATGTCACTTCCACATGCGGTCATCATTATGCGTGTTTTCGAGACAGAGGTTGATGGTTTGTCGCTTCAATTTCGGTGCCTTTTTGCAGCCTCCCGTTTCGATTCTGGTGCCACCCAATCCTATAAATAGGTGGGGGTTTATTTTTTCAAAAACTCTTGGCCATTTCTTCTTTGGTTAATCCTTCTCATCCCTTCCGCTTTTGCTCTAGCGATTTCTTTGCTTTCTCTCCTCCGTTCTCCGTTCTTAGCTTTTTCTGTTATAGTAACACATCTCCCACCATAGATATGCCTAGAACACATCGATCACGTGAGGGGATTTCTGATGCCACCCCGTTGTCCATGGCTCCCCCCTCTTGTGGTGAGGACATGGCGATGGAGGAAGGGGCAGTTTTCCCATCGTAGAAGAGTTACTACCGAGACACCCCATGTCTCGAAGTGGCTTTCTTAAAGAACCCCCTCCTACTCCCGCCTCAGTATTTTCTGAAACTGAGTAGGTCCATATCGATGCCTTCCGCGCTAAATTCAACATTCCCCCATATTGAGATGGTTCCAGCGGGAAGGGACTTCATAGAAGTCCATAGACCGGGGTACTGTACTTTTTATGAATACCCCTTTATGATTTGTTATTCCGTCCCCCCTTATCCCGTTAGCAGAAGAATTTTGTCGATTCTGTCAGGTTTGCCCGACGTAGATCTCCTCCTACACGTGCAAAATACTCCTGGTGTTGACAAAATACGCGGAGTTGGCGGGGTGCAAAGTTACCATTCACCACCTCTTACACTTGTTTTCTCCTAGCTTTCACAAAGGTACTATGGTGCATCTGAAGCACCGTGGGACAAAAGGGCTGGTAGTTGGAACTGATGACTGGACGAGTCGCAAATTTTGGCATAAGTACTTCTTCGTCAGAACTGAACACATCGTGTCTGTTACACCCCATGTTTTCGTACGTAAGAGTATGATATAAGTCAATTAATGTAAGCTCAGAAATAGAATCATCTTTGAAAAGTTTACAAAGTTAGTTCATCATGTTAACGTGAAGGTTACAAATATTTAAGATCATTGATACCAAGTAGCAAGAGGGTTTGAAGGATTGGAAGCTAAACAAATTGAAGCAAATAAGTTTCGTCGAAAGTCGACAAGTTGGAATATTTTACCATGTACTTTTGGGGTGAAACTAGGGTTATTAACATTATAAGGAGATTATAATATTAGTTATTTTAGTCATATGATAGTTGATGTTATGTTTTGAAGTCAAGCGAGTTATGGAACAAAAGTTAGAAAAGGTCATCACAAGTTTCATTCTTAAGTGTGCTGAAAATTAGGTCGAATGTAACTGAGCTTTTCTCCCAATATACTTGGAATTAGGGGATGATCTACCTACCAAATTAAAGATCTATGAGTATAGTTTCTAAAGAATTAAACCGTTTTCGATACGTAGTCGGAGTAGAGAGATACTTATATTTTTGCGAGACTGCGCAGGCTGGTAGGT